TATGGTATTATTTACAATAGATTGAGAGTGAACTATTAGATTTGCAATTTTCATTCTAATATTGTATTCAGGGACAAACAGACAATTTAAAGTATAGATAAAGGACAATAAATAATGTATGCACTTTATTTATCGATAGGTTGAACGATGAACGTTTCAAAACGTTTAGAAGAAAATTTAGTAAAATTAACGTAAGGAACCAGTTTCTTGGTGTGTAATTCAACAATGCTTGATGAATTCAATAGATTATTGATGATTGTTGACTCAAAAAAAAGAAAAAATAAATAAATGCTCATTTATTTTATAATTCATATATGGAATATCCTTGATTTTTGTTATCCCAATACACCAAATATTGTCCATTATTTGTGATAGTTCCATATATACTAAATGTAGCACAACTCAATTAATCAACTATATTGTATTTCCCATCATTAAATTCTCTAAGGATATAAATAATCATTTTATATCTTAGGACTATCAAATTCCTCTCTTTATTATAAATAATTGGAAAATGATATTCATCATAAATTTTATTATTTGTCAATAAATGAATAGTCTTACTCTAATTCACTTAAAAGTCTTCTTTTGTTCTTTCAAAAATAAAAATTTTATCTATCTAATTAGCATTAGTTACCAAAATAAATTAATTTTCTTTAATAAATTTAACTTTATGCCCATACTCTTAAAATGGTTATGTAACAAAATATTTGAATTCAAACTTATCTTCTTCTTTTCTTTCCCAAATAATAATTTAATTGTAACCTTTTGCACAGGATACTAATAAATTCTCTGATTAATTTAAACTCAAATTAACAACATCATTATTATGGTTATTGAGTGAATACAGAAATTTCAATTTATTTTGGTTAAAATCAACCTTCCAAACTTTGATAGATTTATCAAAGCTTCCAGAAAATAGTAAATCTTCATTTGAATTCAATACTATACATATAACAGAATCTGTATGTTATTAATAAGGTTATGAACAATTCCATTCATTTAAGTCCAATTGCCAGCACCTTATTGTTTTGTCTTAAGAACATGAAATTAAAGAATCTTATTTGTTACTATAAACTATGCATAATACCTAATCAGTATGTCCTTATAAAGTATTTAATATATTAATTGTTCCATTTAGAAAACTCCATACTTTAATGTCATTCTTTTCTGTTGATACCATAATTGACCCAGTTCTATTAAAAACTATTGCTTAACATTTTTCCCATTATTTAACAGATTAATTAATTAATTATAATTTTATCGAATATTGTTGTGATAAATTAGATTAACCGATGTTCATAATTTGTTCATAAAATTTTTACAAGTTTAATTTATCTTTATTTTGATTAAATTAGATTAAGGTCTTGCTTAGCTTTGTTATCCAAGATTTATTAATAGTAGTAATGAGCTTGATGTGAGAATCAAGATTTTTATTCTCTTTATTAATAAGGTTATCTAACTCATCATAGAAACTGTATTAATTGAACTTTTATCTTTATGATTATAAATTTTAAGTCCAATCTTCAGCTGTTCTAATGATTGAGTCAAATAATTTCATAAAGTGTCTCTTTATTTCCTATACACTAGTTATACACAGTTTTATTTTTTGAATTGTGTTTGAAGTAATAGCTTCTAAGGTTCTCACATTAGTTTCAATAACATCCTCAATTTTCTTGATTATTATTTTTATTCCAACAACCCTGGCATCTGTTTATAAAATCTACATGCAACTGCTGCACCAAATCCTTTGTTTCCTTTCAATATTTTCATCAAGCACAACCAACTTATTTTTATCTTCGTGTTTATTTACACAATGAAAATCTTTTTCATCTTCTATCATTTAGGGTTTAAACATTTAATTGAAACAATAAAATTTATTGATTGAGTAATAATATTTTAAATCAGATTAGAACATAAAATTTATAAAAGTGATTACCTCATCAATACTTAAAAGGGGTATTTAATATTTTTAATGATCAAAAATGCTCTATTCAACTATCATATTATCTACTAAATGAAACTAGTTGAGGGCTTTGAGAAAATTCATAAATTATCTCTCCTTTATGGTTGAACTTCTTATAGATTGCTTGAGCAGGATTTATTCTACTTAACAAGGCAAGATAGAGTTAAATAAAGAATTTAGATCCAAAATATTCAAACAAAGAAGAAATAAAGCTGATAAAAGCAGATTGTAATCCAAATGAATAAAAATTTAATATTTAATGTTGAATTTCTTAATTGGATCAAAACCACACTTTAATTGTACTTTCCCTTATATTCCCCCATAGGAAATTGCTGAATTATAAATGTATATTACAACTTATTAAAATAATTAGTTTAATTATGATTACACTGATCCTTATTAAATTAAATATGAAGCTTAATTAAAATCCAAAATCTTGCGTCAAGTTTTAGATAATATACCTAATTATTGATGAATGAAATTGATTTGGATGGAAAATGAAGTTGAATATTCATTCATTAGATTAAGTCGATAACATAAAACGTTGAGGTATTCAATCAAAAAATTCTTTTTGGATCATAGTGTTAGAAATACTGAAGCATTATACATTTTGTCTGTATCACTTATAAAATGGAGTAGATAAAAAGAAAGCGCCCACATTGGTAAAATTATTGAAAAATATATTATAAGATCTTGCTGAAGGAAATATTACTACCAATAAGAATCAAGGAGATTTGAAGATATTTTAATTGATTAAAAGACAAAAAGAGACAAGCAAATCTAACGAGCCAATAAGACTTTGGAAAGAAGCATCAAAAAAGAATGTGAAAATATAATGCCACAGCAATTATTATCCTAAAAATTGGATTATTACTACTATAAATTATGCGGAATTAAACTGTTCGTGATTCAAATACTCCTGTCTATGAAGTTTCCTCAATATTTTAAATTAATAATTAATTCTTCGTATTTTATTACAATATAATATATAAGAATGCAATTAAAATACTTAAATAATTCATTCCCTTTAAGCTTTAATAAAAAAATAGGAATAAGACATTTTTATAACCATCATCACTTGAGGTCTGAATATTTTCAAATTCAATATTTTTATAATTCTCTAATAAATTTATAGTTTAAGATCTAGAGATTTCAAAAAGTACCAAAATAATCAAAACACTCATGGGATTAGAGAGTTAGGTTTTAGAGGAATATAAGGTTTAGAATAGATATTAAGGATAGTTTTATAAAAGACCTCGCAACTATTTGCTTAGAACCATATTAGCAACCGATTTAAGTAAAAAATTTGCCTAAACCTATGATAAATTCATGTATTTTGTAAAAATGATGGTAATTTTTACAAAATACATGAATGCCCCAAATTACAACAATCATTTGACCTAATATAATACATTTGGTGTTAAATATCTTGATATACATAATAATGTAATAACTATTATTATTTTTCATTATTTATTAAATCTATATATATATATATATAACTACTACGTCCTTCTCCAAAATCAAATTCGAATTCAATTAGCAATCGCAGCCATCTTATCTCAGACTAGCTTATCAGACTTCATAGATCGAACTTTTTTATTTTCAAAAAGATAATAAAATAATCAATTCTAATTATGATGATGATCTTAAATAAAATCGATGACACGTTTATCGAGATCAGTAAATTTAAGTATTATAAGGAAATTGATCTTTAATGATAACTATTGTTTGTTCTTTACCACAAATCAAATTTCTCTTACTTTGTATCAGAACAGGAGAATATGTTTAAATTTAATTGTTAAGCTCAACTGTTACAGTTCGGTCTATTTCTAGAGAACAGCAATTAATTTATATCTTATTCTAATTTCAGAATGAACTTTTGCAATTATGAACTAAATTAAATTACTCTTAAATTAATTAAAGCATAAAATTTGAAATCTAATCAATATAGTTAATCTTTATTTTTACACCACAGGTTGGTTTTATTTAAAAACAAGTCTTCAAATTATTGAGAAAATAGATTGGACTAATTAGCACAATATAAAGATTTGATTAAATTATTATTATCTAAATTCTCATTTAGGTGCTATTTAACAAATTTCCAAAGGCAAATGCATACAAATACTTGTTAAGGCTGGTAAATTACAATAAGATATCAACAACAACAGATTCGCCATATATCCACCCTTCGAAAAATACCTCCTTATTTTGATTTCAAATTAGATAAAGTCTACTTTCTACCTTCTATTCCTCCTTCTGCTTACAATAATTGCATTCCATGATAAAAATATTTAAATTGGTTTCTTCTATTTAGTTCCACAAATATAATATATCCTCCTTCATCTTCTAAAACAGTCAAACCTTAGGATTAATTCTTACATGCATGCTTACTGTGCATCTATTTTCTTTTTACTGAACATTAAGTCTGAACCATAATCTCGAACCATTATAAGTATTTTATCATTAATCTCTAAATATAATTAAATTTATTAGTATATTACCCCACTTTAAATGATATAAAATATATCACATTTATTATTAAATAATAGATCATATTATTATATATTTTAATTTTTCATTCTTAATAAATAAAGGCTTTTCAGTGACTCAGTTAGGAGTGTGATAGAATTAGGGAATTTTTTCTTTGATTGTGCTTAGATTAATTCTCATTTAGGAAGAACACTTTTACAAGTATTTTCAATTACTCCAATATATTAATATTGAAAGATATAAACTATAATAATTTAAAGAATTATCTCAAATTAACCAGAAAGTGCTTACATCAGAAATATAGATTATAAATTTAAGTAATTGTTCTGATCCTTTTGGAGGATAAGCTTATGATTATTTCAACATTTAAAATCGTATGGTAATATAGACAATATTAGAAATGATAACATTGCTTTTCACTTTAAGAAGTTATTTACTTTCATAAAAAGAACCAATCCATAAATTAAATCAAAAGTTAGTTAAACTCTATACCATGTTGGGTCCTAACAAGGGATTTATCATAATATACATAATACAAGGCATAAGATTACTTCTTTTTGTGAATGGTACATAATATATCGCTAATGATATCATATCAGTTACCCATTAATACAAGAAACAATGTTGTCAATATTAATGAAAATTGTGATTGTATCACTTCAAAACTTTTATATCATAACATTATCACTATGAGATAACTTTATTTATAATAAAAAGAAATCTCCTGAATTCCAAACCCCCTTTATCTATCCATTCAATCTTAATAGGAAAATGATTTCATATCCTCTTAATGGAAAAGATAATTGAATTTAAGTAGATTAATACCTATCAAAAAATAAATGATTCTAATTTAGTTGAATTAGCGTAATCCTTAAGCAACACATTAAGTTGTTCAATTGAGGTACATCCACTACTAGTAATATAAACAATATTAATAATAGCGATTTTTGAGAAGAGTCTTTTACTTACTCTAATTAAAGATCATTGCTTAGCCTTTAGATCATAAAATCTATTCAGAATCAGCATTCATTTGACCATCCATAAGGCCAACAATGTTATATTGTAATATATTATAATGAATGGTAGTAG